TTGTGGTTTTGTTCCCATTACCCTTTAGTGAGTTCGTTGATTTTTTTGTGTTATATTCTGGTATTGACCTTGGCTTTGTTCCTGACTCTGAGTTTGTCTTTAACCTTAAAGACAAGCAAACACTTATACAAAGTATTAGAAGACAAGCTCCAAGCTATGTGTGAATTATACTTATAGATACTACCTTGTATAAGATATGACAATTTAATATCACAGATTTGAAAAAACAATAAACTATACATAGTGTAATACAGTAGATACAAGGGAAAGGGGAGGGGGGAAGTGAGAGCACTCACGAGAAGTAGAAGTATGCAGGCTTGTCTCCCCAAAAGGGGTAAAAATCCACATGACTGTGCTTCAATCTGTAGCTGTAGGTCATGAAGAGAAGAGCCAATAGCGTGATACTATTAAAATAACACTTTTAATGATTAAAATTGCACTTACAAGAAGGCAGTGCATCCAAGCATATCTCCACCTGAGGTGGACCTCTAAATGAGCTAGATGGAGTGAGCAGGAACAGCTACCAGTAAAACAAAATATATTCTAAAATATAAACAAAATAAAAAAAGGTCCCAAAGTCTGGGACACTGCAGTGACTTTTCCGTTTATATATGGCTCTTAATTTCAGACCTCGGATCAGCTGGCGGTCGGATGTGTTCCAACATGGAACATACTGTTCACTTCCTATGACCTGATATCATCCGTCTAACGAACGGGTGAGAATTCACGCAAACGCAGGTGCGAATCAAAGTCGCACATGCGTACCATCTCCTTTCGGCTTCAAACAAATAACATCAATTATTGCGAACGTATGCAAAATCCTATGTATGCGAAACCGAAGTCACACATACATAAAATGTGTGTTCGGATTCAAGCAAATAAACACATACAAATTCAAACGAAATCCCATGGATGGATTACTAACAGGCATCCTGCATAAAATAAGAAAAATAGAAAGAAAAAAAAGGAAAAAAGAAAAGAAAAAAGGATGAAAAATCGAAATATAAAAAAAATGAAAAATAATAAATGAAAATAAATATAAAAATAAATAAATAAGTAAAAAAATGATGTGGGAATATATATATATATTATTATTATTATTATTATTATTATTATTATTGCCATTTATATAGCGCCAACAGATTCCGTAGCGCTTTACAATATTATGAAAGGGGATTTAACTATAAATAGGACAATTACAAATAAACTTACATATATATATATATATATATATAGAAATAAATATGAAATAAAGATGAGAATAAAAGAAAATGGTAAATAAATACAAATAAAATAAATAATACTAAAAATAAGAATAAAAATAAATATAAAAATAAATAATGAATAAATAAAAATAATAATAAAGAAAAATAATTATGCTCATAATAATAATAATAATAAAAATTAATAAATATGGAAAAATAATAGAATAAAAATAGTAGCAAAATTGAGTATTGAGCTTGTCCATACCAGGAATTATTTTTGGTTCGATACGATTTTCTTTTTACAACTGTGTGGCGTCACCATGTGGACAAGATTCGCCCCGAGCTTTGCCAACTTATATGTCTCCCATTGGGAGTCATCGTATCTCCATTTGGGCCTTTGTCTCTGGGAAGTCTCGTCCAAAGACGACACTTAAAATGACAAAATGTATTTTGCGTGTTAGAATACAGGAGCATTTTAAAAATATACAGAAAAAAGAAAACTTATCACAGTGTCCCTAGACACTGTAATACATGTCCAAATTTTTAGACCAGGTGGTCAGCAATTGGAGAGTAGGCAATATATCATTGGAGCTTGCTAAAAAAAAAAAAAAAAGCACAATAGATCTTTAATCTAAAAACACTCCAGTTAGATCTAAACATAGACATTGATTTGGCTGGTTTAATCTAATTCTCCCCCTCTTGTCTTGTTTCTGTTTTATATGAATGGGAATCCTTCACATAGTCACATATGGATGAATTGTTACCTAGCATATTGGAAACATGCCAGTTTTATATTTTCTATCATTTTAACTTTTTCATTTTTTCACCCCATTTTTTCTTATTTTCTCTTCCATTTTTATTTTTTATTTTTTTTAATTCTTTGTTTAATAGGTATACAGTTAATGGCTTCAATAACACAGCACTTTTTATATGTTTGTGGGGTTTTTATGGGGCAGGGCGCAACAGTCGCCTCTTGGTCGTTAGGTTGAACCAGGGCTATTAAAGTAGAAGTGGATTAGAGAGACCTGTGTCCCCTTTCACTGACACTTAGGTCTGTAATATCGGTTGTTTTTCATGAAATAGAAAGGGGAGGGGGTGGGGGTGGAGAACGGGTAGTAGTACTGCAGTGTGTACCTACAGCTTTTGAGAGGACATAGAAATATGCCAAAGGTCGTTGGTAACCAGCTTTAAGATAAAAACATAAAACATAAACATGGAACGTTACTTATAAAGGCTTGTGGTTAGAGCCCGAGTCTAAGGTCTGTGGTCAGGGAATTCATGGCACCAAGGCAGATGCTGTTTCTCCTCGTTGGGCCGCTGGTATAAAGGGTCACGCTGTGGCGGGGTTCCAGGCTGTAGTCGTCGGCAGCTTGTTGGAATCTGCGGGACCCGGCCCTTGTCTTCCCAGTGCGAGTTGTTGTAGGGTGTCAGGTATTTCAGTAGCTTCGTATATTTTAAGGGTGCCAGTGTCACTGGTTATAATCAAGGTTCTGGGGGAGCCCCAGCGGTAGGGTATGTTGTGTGCTATGAGTTCTGTAGTCAGGGGTCGCAAGGACCATCTCCAGTGGCCTTGGACAAATCGGGGTAAAAGGTCAGAGAGTGGCTTTCAAAGTGGAAAAGAGACTTACTGCGCACGGCTGCCATGAATGTTTGGGGATCTCTGCCTTGTTGGAATCTGACGATTACATCGTTCCCCCTCCCCGGTTTGCTGGCTTGCCGACCGGAGATACGGAAGCAGCTATCCAGCGGCATCCCTTTGGGTGTGAATAACGTGTTGAGCAGTCTGCGGATTAGGTGCGGCAGCTCTGTGGTTTCTACCTCTTATGGTAGGCCTCGAATTTTGACGTTCTTCCCGCGTCTTTTGTCTTCAAGTGCTGCCATGTTGACTTGGTGTTGTTTTTGTGTCTTTTGCAGGTGTGAGAATTTGTTGTTCCACCAATTCCAGATGGGATTCTTGTGCGGCTGTGTTTAGCTCCGCGTTTTGCAGACGGGCCACCACTCCACTGATCTTGTCGCGGAAGACTCCGATGTCGGCTGCTATGTTGCGGCGCAGCTCTCCCAGTATGACCTTGAGCTTTTCCTCAGTGAGGCTAGGTTTCGTGGGTGACTGGATCGGTCTGCCCACTGCTCCAGTGCCATAGTCTTCCTCTTCCGATTCGGTGGTCTCGCTGAACGAGTGGTACAGGCCCTCCAGTTGTGGCGCCATGTCGGGCCTCTGGAAGTTTTGGGGCCTCCGCAGTAGTTCTCCAATGTCAGCTGTAGAGGGGGGTTTGGCTGCTGATATTTGCGTTGAGAAAGTACGTTTTTCCTCGTTTTTATGGTTGTTTGAGTGAGTTTCTCTCGGAGCTCGAGGCATATGCGTCCTCTCGGTATGGCTACCATCTCCGCCCCCCTCCATTTGTATTTTTATCCCTATTCTGTTATTTATTCATTACAATTTTGCTATTTTTATTCTTAGTTTTTCATATTTATTTATTTTTATTATTATTAGCATTATTATTTTATTTTTTTATTTCATATTTATTATTATTTTTATTTATTTATTCTTTATTTATTTTTGTTTATATATATATATATATATATATATATATATGTATATATATATATGTGTGTGTGTAATATAAATACCTAGTAGAGAGCACTCTGGAATCTTGGTGAAGTAAATTCAAACTGCTCCAATAGTGGGTATATTCCTTACTCTAAAATCTTGTGGTTACTGCACAAGACACACATGATATTGGTGAGCATTTAATTTATTTGGATATATATTGCTTTTCTATGCCTATAATGTCATATTTGCCATCCTGATGAATTTAAAGTTATATTTTATTACAACTTCAAAAGACCCTGGAGTGCATTCCATTTACTTGGATACCTACAAAATTTGCTGGATTTGCACCGGGCAATATTGTCATTTACACCTGGAGTGCAAGCATATTGGAATTTTCTATTATATGGACTCCACAAGCAGGAACCCTGCAGTATCTACTTACTTTGGAAAAAGACTGTTTCAACTATTGTAAGTGAATTCTGGCATTTTTTTGCATACACCTCTATATCACTTGATTAGAGGAAGCTTATTTTATTTTTACCTATTATTTTTCTGAAAATTACATACTATTAATTTACTCTATCTATGGAAGATTTCATCTCACTAGCAGGGGGGCTAGCTGAGTAAGCTGAAATATTTCAGTATTCAGAGGAGGGTGCAGTAAGAATCAGATGGCAAACTACAACCACTGATCTTCCCAATACTACTTCACTCAAGGATATTTATCATGAGCTACTAAGACTGAGAAAAAGAGAGACAGATCTAGACCTACATGGCCTTTTTCTCTCACAGTATCACCACAAACTACAGATACCACAAGGAACAGCAAACCAAAGGTCTGCATAAAGTGGATCTCAGTCTTAAACAAATGGTCATTGGATCTAATGCTAGTAATAATTGAAGACGTTAAAGAAGATCTTATTGCAGTAAGATGGAAGATGACAGAACTAAAGTCTAAACAAGCCCTGATACGTTCTGCAGTGGAATCAGCTCCCACAATACTTAAACTAAAACAGAATGTCAAATCATATAAAACCAACTTAGTACGCTTTAAACATGAGAAGCAAGATAAAGTGGAAATTGATTACAAAGAGCATCGAGTATACAAATGGTTAAGCAGACAAACCGACAGACCTCGATTTGCACGGCGCAGAAAACCTATTAGAAAACCAAGGCAATTCACCATAGATCGTACGTCAGGTGAATCGACATCAGAATCTGAACAATATTTCAGTGAACCAGGTACAACAGAGGCTTTTTTAGACGAGGATGCAGGAGCCACTTCCAGGGTTCACACGAGACTGACAACAAGACGAGAAGCAGAAGGTACAGGTGCAGCCAGAAGGGCAGAACCCATTGGAGTAAAATACAAATCTCTGAGACAACCAAGATGATACCCATTTTCAATTTATCATCAAGAAATCACAAGCCAGAAGAACAACCACTGCTGATGAAAGGACGTTCATATGTACCTACTAATTATCCTAATTCCTTCAACAATGAAATTGAATTGCACAAGTTTGGTAGAATGTTGAGATTGAAAGAATTTTTCAAAGGGACTACTCAGAATCCTGAAACAGTGTCAAACCAATTCAGAGCTAGAAGCAAATTTGACCCTGGTACATCTAATGCCTCAATCAAAACCTTTTTAGTTTCAGTAAGTTTGTTGGTTTCATATTGCACATTTCGTGCAATATGAAACTAACAAACTTACTGAAACAAAACAATACCATCATTCTAACATCTCAAAAAAAGAAAGAGAGATCAGCCAATGACAAGAACATAATCATCAGACCAACAGACAAAGGAGGCAGTATCATATTATTGGACTAAAAAGACTACAGGATGGAGATCCTATCACAGCTTGAAGATACTAATACATACACCAAACTACAAGCAGAGCCAACCGCTCAAATCATGCACAAAATATCTAATATTGTACAGCGTGGATATGAAGCAGGGTATATATATCCACAAATCTGGCTAAAGTCTTGCCGCGCGTGCGCATTCAGCCGACGGGGCGGAACGGAGGAGGAGAGAAGGAGGAGAGCTCTCCGCCCCGGGGCTGGAAAAAGGTAAGTTTTAACCCCTTTCCCCTTTCCAGAGCCGGGCAGGAGGGGGTCCCTGAGTGTGGGGGCACCCTCAGGGAACTATAGTGCCAGGAAAACGAGTATGTTTTCCTGGCACTATAGTGGTCCTTTAATCATTTCAGGTTTGAGCAAAGCTGGTTTCAACAGATTTCGGGCACGTCAATGGGGGCAGCCATTACACCGAATTATGCCAATGGATACATGTACTGCTTTGAACGACAACACCTCTTAGCACCATATATAGAAAACATAATTCTGTACCGTCGCTTCATTGATGACATGCTTATTATTTAGAAAGGGGATGTGAACTCAATCAACATCATCATTAAAAATCAATACAATGAACACACCTATTCAACTAACCATAACTACAAATACTGAATGTGTGGACTTCCTTGATGTACACATACGAAGACAGGGCCAAAAATTGGCATACAGTCTGTACACTAAGCCAACAGACAGAAACACACTATTCCATGCAGACAGTTTCCACTCACAATACCTCAAGGCGTCTCTCCCATATTCACAATTCTTATGTGTCATCAGGAACAACTCAAACCCCAAGGTAGCTCAACAACAAATAGGGGAGATGTGGAAGAAATTCAAGGACATAGGTTACAAGGACCACACACTACAACAGGCATGGAACAGATGCCATTCTACAACAGAACTGAAAGAAAATAATAGTTACAGAATGGTATTTCCTATTACTTATACCACTGTAACACCAAAGATTAAAGCCTCTGTGACATCCAACCTGCGGATTCTGTCCAATGAATCCACTCTGCCAAAAGAATTTCACAATCCCCCAATGATGTGCTTTCGACGGGAGAGAAACCTAAGCAGTGGCGTACTAAGGGGAGGACGGGGGGGCGGTCTGCCCCGGGTGCCAGCAGGGTGGGGGGTGCCTTGGGAGGGGGCGCTGGCCCCCCTCCTGCTGCAGCCGCCCGAGCGCTCTGCAGGGAGCCTCGGGCGGCTGCAGCTTTGCCTGCCCAGGCGCAGCGTGAGGAGAGGGGCTGACAGGAGGGAAGCGCTCAGCGCTCCCTCCTGTCACTCCCTCTTAGCGTGGCCGAGCCCAGTATGGTCCGCGGGTACAGGAAACAAAAGCTCCCTGTATCCGCGGACCATACTGGGCTCGGCCACCCTACAACTGAGGTGGTGGGGGTGTGGGGTGGAATAAGGAGAGATGGGGGGTGTGGAATAGGAGATGGGGGTGTAGAATAGGAAGATGAGGGGTGTGTGGAATAATGAGAGATGGGAGGTGGAATAATGAGAGATGGGGGTGGGGAGGTATGAGAGATGGAAATTGGAATAAGGAAGTAGGGGGTGGAATAAGGAGGAAGTAGAGGTGGAATAAGGAGAGATGGGGAAGAAGGAATAGGAGGTGAGTGGAATAAGAAAGAGATTGGGAAGGTGGAATAAGGAGAGATGGGGAATAAGGAGGTGGGGGATAGGAGGTGGGAGGGGGGAAATTGGCGAGGGGGGATAAAGAAAGAAATTGGGAGGGGGGAGAAGGAAATTGTGATGAGGGAAGGAAATTGGAGGGGGGGATAAAGAAAGATTGGGAGAGGGGGATAAAGAAAAATTGGGAGGGGGGAGAGAGAAGGAAATTGGAGGGGGGGAGTGTCACGATTCGGGGAACCCAACACGCTGGCACACACACACACACACAAAAGGTGCCATACCGGACCTTAGAGTGGCCGGGCTAAGCACACACAGAATAGTCAGGAAACAAGCCGAGTAAGGGGAACCAGAAGACAGAATAACGTGAAACAAGCCGAGGTCAAAGGGTAGGAGAAAGTCACAAAGTCGGATAAACAAGCCAGAGAGTACGTAACCAGAAACACAAGGTAAGTAGCAATACTAGCAAGCAAAGACCACAACAGGGCAGGGAGGAACAGGAAAGCTTGGTGCTACTTGCAAGTGCTGTTTCTAAGTGTCTAGTTGGAGATATTCTGGAGAGTTTTACAGAAGCTTCAACTGTCTAGGAGTTGTGCTAAGAGCTTTCTTTTCTACTGTTACAGGTAAGATTCATCTGTAGGAAAAGGTTACTGATTGCCCAAGGTTTGAATTCCTGTTGGTAATTATAAGGCATTTGATTTGATTAAGCTAGTTACTTGCTGTTGATTGCTGGTTAATTAGCTATTGTTTGCAAATAAGCAGAGGCCCACCCAGGTGTTAAACATTCCTAGTGGGCGGTGATTTAAGGAGTTATATAAGGCTTGGTCTCATTAGCTTGTCTAATATAGCTTGGTGCTACTTCCAAGTGCTGTTTCTAAGTGTCTAGTTGGAGATATTCTGGAGGTAATCTGATGTATTCAGGAGGATAAAGAAAAAAGTTAAGATTTTTTAGATTTAAATTATTCTCATAATTGGAATGGCAGGCTTAGTTCAGTGTTACAATTGCTATGCATTTGTTTCACGTTCCACTTTTTGGAGGTTTGGTTGTTGTCTAATCTGTAGACAGTTCTCTATCTTGTGGCAGGAGATTGTATTTTTGAAGTCTGAGATTTGTAAATTATCTGGTGTAGAAACTCAGACTGGAACTGCTGCAAAGCCACTGCCGCAGAGACATGCTAGGAAAGGCAGATGGATTACTGTAGGATCTGGCAGACTTAGAGTTGTGGATAAAAGGCATTTTGCACAGTCTGTTGCTCTTCATAATTCATTTTCTGCACTTTCAGAGTGTAATGGTGTTGTGGAGAGAGGCACCGAGGCTAGTGGTGTTGTGGAGAGAGGCACCGAGGCTAGTGGTGTTGTGGAGAGAGGCACTGAGGCTAGTGGTGTTGTGGAGAGAGGCACTAAGACTAGTGGTGTTGTAGAGAGAGGCACTAAGACTAGTGGTGTTGTAGAGAGAGTCACTGAGGATAGTGGTGTTGTGGAGAGAGGCACTGAGGCTAGTGGTGTTGTGGAGAGAGGCACTGAGGCTGGTGGTGTTGTGGAGAGAGGCACTAAGACTAGTGGTGTTGTAGAGAGAGTCACTGAGGATAGTGGTGTTGTGGATAGAGGCACTGAGGCTCATAGGCGTGCGCACGGGGTGTGCCGGGTGTGCCTGGGCACACCCTAATCCCGTGCGCCACGCATGGATCGAGGCCGGCAGGGAAGATCAAAATATCTCCCCTGCCGGCTCAAGCACAACAGATTGCCGGCGAGAGAGGCTCTGAAGAGCTCCATTCCATTTGGATACGGAGCAAACAGCCTCCAGGCTGCACGCAGGGCAGCCCTCTCGCGATCGCTGATATTTTCAGAGCGTTGCCATGGTAACCCGCGGCAACGCTCTGAAACTCCAGCTCTCGCGAGAGAAAGGCATGGTCTGTACCCTGAGGAGGTACAGACCACATCACTAGCCCACTGGATCACCAGGGATGATCAGCAGCGTGCTCCCTCTCCCCCCCGCAAAGTAATAAGGTAACAAAGGGAAAGGGAAGTAAGTTTATTTTATTTTTTTATTTTATTTAAATAATGAAACACTCAAAATATATACATAAACTATACCCCACCACTTACTCACTACACCCTATATACACACTGCACCTACACACACTATACACCTTATATACACCCCCTACACACTATATCCATATACATAACACTACACCCCCTGCACCTACACACTATACTCCCTATACATAACACTACACCCCCTGCACCTACACACACTATATACACACTATATACACACTATACCCCCATACATAACACTACACCTCTGCACCTACACACACTATATACACACTATACCCCCATACATAACACTACACCTCTGCACCTACACACACTATATACACACTACACACTATACCCCTATACATAACACTACACCCCCTGCACCTACACATTATACCCCTATACATAACACTACACCCCCTGCTACTACACACTATACCCCCTATACATAACACTACACCCCCTGCACCTGCACACACTATATACACACTATACCCCCTATATACACACTACACCTTCTGCACTCACACACACACTATATACACACTATACCCCATACATAACACTACACCTCTGTAATCCTACACACACTATATACACACTACACCCCCTGCACCTACACACACTATATACACACTACACACTATACCCCTATACATAACACTACACCCCCTGCACCTAAACACACTATATACACCCTACACACTATACCCTATACATAACACTACACCCCCTGCACCTACACATTATACCCCTATACATAACACTACACCCCCTGCTACTACACACTATACCCCTATACATAACACTACACCCCCTGCACCTACACACACACTATATACACACTATACCCCCATACATAACACTACACCTCTGCACCTACACACACTATATACACACTATACCCCTATACATAACACTACACCTCTGCACCTACACACACTATATACACACTA